CTGCAGGGGCAGGGGTCGGAGAGCCAGCTGCTCCTTTCCCCAGGAGTCTCCCTCCCCCAAGATAGTCCCTGGGCCCAAGCGGAAGGCAGCGGCCACACAAAGGCCTAACAGCCTCCTTGGAATGCTGGGGAAGCTGTGGGCCAGATAAGGTGGGTAAATTTCAAAGGGGCTGCAGGGGGGGTAGGGCTGCTGATAGCAGGGCCCAGGCTGCCAGCACCCTCCTCGGCTGGTGGTGGTGGCCCAGCCCCTCAGCAGTCACAAAACAAGCTCAATTGTGCTCTTATCAGGTCTGTGGTTTTGTAAGGCCCTGCTGGCTGGGGCTGGCTCTGCGTCAATGGGGGAAAGGCAGCGGCCAGCCAGCCGCTCAGCTCACTGGGTGTGGGCCTTGACGTGGGCCTTCCACCTCCACCCCCTACCGAGGCCTGGGGTCCACCTGGTGCTGAGGCAGGGAAGGAGAGGCAACTGACACCATATGCCAAGTTAAATAGCCCATGTCGGGGCTAAGAACCACCTTAGCTCCAATCCTGGCTCCTCACCTTGCATTGTAATCTCCAAACTTCCCCTGCCTCAGTTTCCTCACTGAGGTTAAAGTAGATGCTACCTTAAAGGGCTCTTAAGATAGTTCAATGGGTTGATCTGAGCGCTCTGAAGCAATAGCCTACAAGAGCGCCCAGTCAGTGAGAGGCTGGGACCACCCAGGACATGAGGGACAGAGGCCTCTCTGCTGCACACTGGCTCCCTCAGCCCCCAAACAGCCCACCTGGAATACTCACAGATGCTTACAGAGCTCAAACCTTCCCCACCTTAAGTTTTGGCCCCAACCCTCCTACCCCATGGAGATCCACCCTGGTCACAAATTCAGAGTGGCATCCCATGCCCCGACCCACCAACTGGTATCTTTGACCCTGCCCATTATGCCTTCCGCCCTCCCAGAGCATTGCAGACCATAGCATAGACCATATGGACTTACACTTCTGTTGGCCATCTCATTCCTGGAATGTGCAGTAAGGCCCCCTGCTGACCCAGTGACCCATCTGGCCTCAGGAGGCCTTCAGCATGCCTGTGTGTAGTGACCAGGTCAGGCTGGGTCTCAGATAGCACCCTCCCGCACCATCACAGAAGTTGAGGAGAAGAGGGTGTATGTGGGGCAAGAGGTTAGTCTCCCTAAATAGGCATGTGGGGTTCCCCAGGTGTGGTAGCACCCATCTGTGACAAAGCCCTGCCTGGCTGGGTCCACAGGAAACTTCTGGGGCCCCTGAGAGCTGTGCTGGGGCCCTGGATGGGGAGAGACCTCAGAAGGCATCCCAGGGGCAGTAGGAGAGACCAGAGGGAAGGGTAGGCATGGGTACAGCCAGGCCCTGTGCGGACAGCAAGACATCATGTGACCTCAGCCCCCTTGGGGCTTAGGTTTGGCAGGAGAGGGACTGGTTCAGAACCCCACGGTCTGGAGAAGCAGGGCCCACACCCTCCTACCTGTCAGTTTTCCCTAGAATGGAGCTAGTCAGGCATGTAGTCAGTGTTCACAAACCAGTATGTCCACAGATGGATGCTCTTGGGAGGGGCACTGGGAATCAGCTGTGCCCTCTGAGGCAGAGAGACACAGAGTAACTATAGCTACCAGGCCATGAGCTCATACAGGCTGTGCCCATACAGGGCCTGGCACAGAGTAAATGCCCAATAAACATGCTAGTCTGAGTAAAGCAATATGCCATGACCCAGGTGTGTCAGAGACAGACGTGCTCCAGTGGACGGAAATGCCTAGTTGTGTGGCCCCTGAAGATACAGTCACCACTCTCTGGGTCATCCTGATTTCCTTGCCCACCACCCAGCATGGCACCATGTCCCAGAAAGAGGATTCCATCAGATGCAGCCCAAATCCTGCCTCTGCCACTTTTTAGCCTTGATGTTGGGGAAGTCAATGAGCCTCTATATCTGTGAACATCTCAGATGAACATCTCAGATGAACATCTCAGGTGGCAGATTTATTAGGATTAATTAGATGAGATAACACATGCCACATGTGAGCACAGATCAGGATCTGAATTCAAATCCCAGTCCTGCTGTGCATCTTTAGGCTTGTGCCCTAACTTCTCTGGTCTTAGGAGCTTCATCTGTACCACAAATACTAGGTGGTCCCTCAAATAAGCTTCCTTGCCATCCTGCTCCACATGGTCTCATCTGAGTGACCAGCCTCAGGCCCCTCACACCTCAATGGCGGAGGAAGCCCTCCCCCAGGCTGTCCCACCTTCTTATGCCTGGAGCCTGGGGACTGGGCCTTGGTCACTTGGCAGCTACACTTCTGTGACTGGCACGGGGCCTTGTGTCTGCTGAAGCTCGTTGCAGGCTAAAGCTCCTGGGAGGGTGGGACTCAAGGAGGATGGGAGCGCAAGTTGCTGGGACAGAAAGAAAGCTAGGAAGGCCAAGATCTGACTCACCAACTGACAGACAGATGGACCTGGTTCCTCAGGTGTACCCACAACCCTCAAGGTCAGCAGGACAGATCTTCACGTTACAGAGGAGGCAAGAGGGCCCAGGGTGCCTGAGACTCACTCCCCACTGTGCCACTAGTGTGTGACAACCTGGAGTCCCAGCCTGTGCACTCTGCTTGAGGCCAGAGGGTTGATGTGGGAGTGTATTCATGCCAGTATCTCCAGAAGTTGCAATCTGTGTCCTGAATCTGACGGTGCCAGGAGCTCCACAGATTCTGCCCTCAGGGAAGAAGAACCTTGGGAAGGTAGACATGCCGAGAAGTACTTAGAACAAAAACCTGGGAGCCATGGATCTGCAAGGGCTGCTGGGGACAAAGTTTGAGGTGCTCAACTCAAACCCACTTGAACAACAAACAACGGAAACTTCCCTGGTCTGGCCAGGTATTCCTACCATAATGTCAGCAAGGTATCTGCCTCCTACTCTAGGGGTGGAAGCTCTCAGTTTACACCTTCAAGGCTCAAAAATTCTGGTGTCAAGAGAGCATGTGCTATCTCACCAGATTGGAGAAAAGTTCCAGGGTCAGTGTGGACCATCCACCAGACCCAAGTCTGGAGTGGTGGCTCTGGGTCAGGCATCGCCCTAGATGGAGGGATAGGAGCAGGTATGTTTCACTCAATGGGAGCTGACCAGGGAGGAGAAGGAGGCGGCCAGCCTGGGGGAGTGGTGGGCAGGAGGCCAGAAGCCTAGTGGCCTATGCCAGGTACCTGGGACTTGACCCTCAGAGGACAGGAAGGAACAGAGGGTCTATCAAAGAAACTGCAGATCTGACTTTGAATCTACCTCCCAGCAATGACCTTGGGTACAACATTTTAAGTGTTTAAAGGCCTCCATCTCTTCACCTGAGAAGTAGGCATAGCACTACGTACCTGGAGGGGACTGTGAGGAACAAGAGGACGAGTACCAAACATGGCTTGTGGAGGGTCAAACACATGGCAAGGGGATGGCCACATGGATACACAGGGCATTTTAGCCAACCTTACCTCCCCCTCGTAGCAGTCAGAGTCCTCTAGTCGTGGGGAGGGGGCTATTCAAGTTCCAACACTTGTCCAAAGTCACAAAGCTGGAAGGTGACAGAACCAGTATGTGTTCTTGGGTCAAACCCCAGGCTGATGCTATGATGTCACACAGGGTGCAGAAAGGTCATGTGTCTCACAGAGTCCCCCAAGAGTTAAGGATGAGCACCAGTTATCTCTCCCTCCCAGCCGGTTACATAGTCATACCTAGCTGCAAGGGAGGCTGAGACAGTCTTCATTCCAGGTAGCCACGTGCCCAGCTAAAACCCACCAGCCAGGGGCTGGAGCATGGCTCAGTGGTAGAGCACTTGCCCAGCATACATGAGACCCTTGGTTCCATCTCCAGCACCACAAAAAACAAAACAAAAAACTAGGTATGTGCCACATGTGGCACATACCTGGAATCCTGGCATTTGGGAGGATGAAGCAGGATTGCGTTCAAAGCCAGAATGGTCTATACATCTACCCTGTCTAAAACAAAATGAAGCACAATCACAAAACAAATCACATTTATTTTCCAAAGAAAAGGGGAGAATGGACATTGGGGGGGTACTAGCTTTCCCTTTCACCCCATCACTCAGAAGCATTTATCGGGTACTCCTTGTACTTACCTGTATTATAGTACTTACAGTACAATCAACAGTACCTCAGGACAGCATTTCATGAGTGCCAAATAGTGCCTGGCATACAGTAGGTGCTTACTGAGCAGCGGCCGCCAGTATCAATGCATCAGAGTGCTGTGTTATCAGCACAGTCAGCTGTGAGTACAGAGAAGGGAACCCGGACCTCAGGAGCTAGGAGTGGTCAGTCATATCACCTCTGCTTCATCCCATTTGCACCTTCTCTGGGAGCAACCCTTGATAACATCCTCACTAAGGTGTCAGTAATGACAACTTTGCACCGGGCTCTCTGGGGCTGAAAAGCCCAACCTTCTGATAGAGGTTATTGCTGTTGGTCAAGGTGAGGGTTAGCTCTGAAGGTCATAGCAGCTTCCTGAAGTTATAGAGGACACATGCAATGGGCAGCCACCCAACTGCTGAAGTTAAGAGTACCTATGAACATTGTTCACAAACTCAGTTGACAGAAAGGGAAGCCTTCCAAGATGACCCAATGGACATCCCCCAGCTCAGCCCCCTGCAGCATGAGAGGAAGCTGACCCCTCCCCAGGGGTCTCTGAAGATCCCTCCATCCTTGGCCAGGGAGGCAGGCAGTGCCTCCTCCAGGAAGCCTTCAGTGACTTCCCTGGCTGGGGCCCACCATCAGCATACCAGTGACCCTCCATCACAGTGCATGGCTCTGATTTTCACACATTGCTGCTGGCTTGTCTGGCCCTGACTCTTGACTGGTCCCTTTTTCCACCCTGGCCCTGGTCTCACTGGATGTAGCCTTTGTGCCTTGTGTGTAAGGGGAGCCCAATGGTTACACGTCATCTAGTGAAGGAGTGAGTGAATGGGTAGGTGAGGGAGGGAGTTCCCAACTGCCCAGGGCAGGAGGGGAGGCCTGCAAGGGTTAACCAGGAGCCCGCCTGCGGTCTGAGGTAAGCAGGGAGCGTATTTGTTCAAGTAAATAAGGAAGGATTACTTATAATGGGAAACCAGGCCTGGCCAACTCTCCATCCCGTGGCCGCCTGACTTCCTCCCTGCACATTCCTGTACTCCACCTGTCCACTCTGCCCCACACACCCAGCCCCAGCCTGTCGCTGCCCCTTTGCTCCCGTCTGGCTGGGTCTTGTCACAGCGCCAGCTGGTGGCCCTGGACTGGGGGCCACACAGCCCTGAGACCTAAGCAGGCCACCCCTTGAGGGTGGCCAGGTGCCCCTGGCAGCAGCACACCTGAGGGCCACCTCTGCCCCCAGCCCTACTGGCCCTTGGTCCCACTGGTCCCCCGGATGCCTGGCTGAGACAACAGTGGCTGAAGCTGCCCACACCTCCTCCTGGCCCCTGAGGTTGGCATTGCAGTAGACGACTCGGGCACTGAGAAGCTAACGGGTAAGTGTAGCAGGAGGTAGATGGTGCCCTGCCATGGGGGGCTTTTCCCTGACAGCTGTGGGGATGGACCTGGGGCAGGACTTGAAACTCATCTTCCAGGCAGGAATGGCCCTGTGACCTAGACCCTTCACCCTCAGAGTATTGTCCACTTTGCATGCTGACCTGTCTGTCCCCCTGGGTCAAGCCCAGGGCTGGGGGAGCTCCTTAGCCTATCGAGGCCTGGAAGCCCCATGTCTGTGGACCCAGTCAAACCCACAGTCTGCACAGACAGGGGAGGCAGCTGTGGGGGCTCTAGCCTGGCTCCAGGGCCGAGCCAGCTCTGCTCAGCCAGGGAAATGCACTCAGCCTTCCTCCACTGCAGGCTGATGGTCCACCTGAGGAGGGTCTCCCTGCCACAACGGGCAGGGGTTCGCTGGGCCTGGAGGCTAGGGCAAGGACAAGGGTCCAGGTCAGAGCAGGAGGGGCAGGCCCAGAGCTAAGAAGATGGGCTGGACAGGATAGGGTGGGCACAGGAAGCAAGGGGTCTGGGATCACTGAAGCCCAAACCACCCGGGCACCTGGGCCAGAGAGGAAGCTGAGGACTGTGGCCCCAGTCTGGGCACACAAGGAAAGCAATAGTGTGTGAGGGTCCCCTCAAAGGTGTCTAATTCTAAGATTTGTCAGATTTCTAGAGAAAGGGAGGTGGAGGGGTGGATGAGGGGAGAAGCTGAGGGCCTGAGTAGTTGGGGTGCCCCTGAGGCTAACTAAGGGCTGTGTGTGTGTATGTGCAGGCCTTCTGAGCTAGCCCTGATCCCCTCCCTTCACCCTACCAGGTATAGCCACCAGCAGCCCACACCCAGGCCACAAGCCTCCTTCATGATGGTCATGGTCTTTCTCCTCCTCCCAGGCCAGGGCTGGGTCTCAGCCTCACTTCCTGCCCCCACCTCCCCAGCAAACAGCTTCACCGCAACCCCAGTAAAGCCACATGTCCCCTGCACCAGCTGCTCGGCTGAGTAACAAAGCAAACAGGCCTCCAAGCTGCCCCAGACCCAATGCAGAGGGCAGCATGGGGGAATGCCCTGCCCGACCGTGGGCCATGCCATGCCATAGTTCAGCCAGCCCCTATCCACCTGCAGGAGGGGCCAGCACCAAGGACCCCCAACCCAAGTCTCCCCACCCCAACTCACAGTCAAGTAGGGGGTGCCCTTAGAGCCCCAGAAAAGTTGGAGGAGAGGAAGTGGTCTCACTACTGACTGCCCTCTTCTTTGACTGCCTAAATGGACAAGCGATTCCTCTGTGCCCACCACAGTGGGGGTCTAGAGCTGAAAACTCAGTTCCTAGCAAACTTTCTCTTTACTTTTTATCAATTATAGGACACTTTTCTACAAGGACCCTAAAAATCAGATAGGGCTTCTCTGACAGACAAGCCTGAGGGAAGTGGGCTGCACTCAGCAAGTGCTCAATAGATGCTCAGATAGTGTGATTGGCAGGGTTCAGAAGAACCTGGAGAATCTACATGTTACCCCAAGGTTATTGCAAAGTTGACAGCACTGGAAAAATTAGACGGTTTTGTGCTGAGTGGTTTGGTATAGCCTGAGAGTAACCTGGAGAGCTCAGTCCACTGGGCCCAATGTGTAACCGTGGATCAGTCACTTTCCCTCAGTGCACTGTGGCTCCTTGTCTGAAATAAGGTTAGGCAAGGTAGTTCTCCTCTGTTAAAGAAGGCTTCATGGAGGAGACAAACTGGAGTGGGGCATTGAAGGTTGCATAGGAGTTGGTTAGAGGTAGTCTGACAAGATGGACTTGCCAGCTTGTCTCCTAGGCTGATGTGGGGGTGGGACAGGAATTCCTGGCTCTGGCTTCTCCTAGGGGGAAGGGAGGGGTGAAGGAGGCCAGAAGCTGCCCTGGACTGGGTTAGAGAGCAGGATGACCCCAGGGTAAAAGACCCAGGCCTTCCTCACCACCACCCTCAACTCTCTCCCAGCCCCCATCCTTCAGCCCAGCCCCTCAGCCACCATCACCTGCCTCTTCTGTTTTCATTTCTCCCTGATCTACTAGCCTTCCCCCTTCTCTAGCCCCATCCTTTCACCTGCTTCCAGGCTTTACCTTCAAGCACACTCAACCATCATAATCCACAGGAATTTCTGCTCTCAATCCTTCAACTCCTTAAGCCAAGCAGTCAGCAGCCTATTTAACAGAGAGCACAACCGAGTCTCAGACCCTAGTCCCAGAGCTAGAGAGATCAGGGCTCTCCCCTGGCCCGGGACCCTCCCTTTATCTCTACCCCCACTCCTTCCCCACCACCCCCTGCACCCAGCCAGGTAAGTGGCCCAGCAGGTGGAGCAGCTCTTCACAAAGCCAACTGTGTGAGCCCATCGCCCTGGGCCCTTCCTGACATTTAATGCACTGTATCTCTATTTCTTTGCTTGCTCCAGGTGTGAGGCTAGGCACCCTAGCAGAGCCAGGTCAGGTCTCCTTTCCCTCTGCTGGGACTGGGGTGGGAGCCTCTTCCTTTCTCTGACCTCTCCTGACCAGCGAAGGTCAGGACTTCAGTGTGACTCTGATGGGGCCAGATGGGACCAGGACCTCCCCAGGGCAGTAGAAAGGCAGAATGGAGGTGATCCCCCTCCATTCTGAGCTCTGGGGTTGGGGAGAGAGAGTTTGAAGTGGCCACCCTGGCTAGGGTTCCAGCCCCTGAAACTGGTGACAAGGGCTGGGTCAGAGTTTCTCTGCTCTTGGCGGCAGGTTGCCCTAAGGCTGCTGGGATCTTTCCCGTCCCTCACTTGAGCCCAGCCCCTGCCCCCAGGAAAAAGGGGGCTGTGTCTCAGTGGGCTTCTTGGAAGCCAATGGGTCCTAGGCACCCCTGCCCTGCCCTAGTTTGAAGTAGTTTCTACCTAGCCTCCCTGGACAGCTCATTCTGGACTTTGGTAGTCTAATGTCCTAGGGTCTTCACCTTGACTAAACACCTGCTTTCAAGTAAGGAGCTGAGCTGGCCCAGGCTTGGGGCTCAGACATCTTTTCTCCATCAGTCTGTCCAGGATTGCTCAGTGACGGCAATCCTGAGACACACAGCCTTTTATGAATTCCCGTGTCACTGACAGAGCAAGGTATTCCAGGGAGGAGTGGCAGGAGCAGCTGCCTGGGGCAGAGCCTCAGGGTGTGAAGCACCCACAAAACATGGCAGCCCCCGGGGGGCAAGTGCTGGGAGGTATGGTAGAGACCATGATGGAGGACTAGGGGGAAGATAGGGAGCTGCTGTGGCCCAGCCCCTTGGAGGAGGGTTTGTGGGACAAGAGAGGGAAGGGGCAGCCATGTGGACACTGTGAAGTGAAATATATCTACATGCTGTGCATGCTGTACAAGGGCTGAGCAAAGAACTGAATTGCAATTTCTGGAAAACTCTGGAAGCCAGGCAGAATTGCCTTGGCTTGATGGGGTGGAAACTGGTTTTGGTCCCACCTTGTCAGCACCACTCACTCCAAGCCCCGGGGTGGTCTGGGCTGGACTGGGCTGGGGGCCCGCTGGCTGGAGGAGGTAGGGAGCAGGTGCAGCTTGGCAGTGGCCCTGCTTGGTCAGAAGGGAAGTCAAGTGATTTAGAACCTTTGGATACAAACTCCAGGGACATGGGAACACCCTGCCTCAGCCCTCCTCCTGCCATAACTGTCAGCTCTGAATTGTGCCTCTGAGGGCAAGGGGAGTCCTGGTGTCTCCCACTGTTTTTCCACCGACCTCCTTCCAAATCCCAAAGCCAAACTAAGGGGCAGTGGGGGTCTGGGTCAGGGAACCCAGTCAGTGGCCCACACCCCTTGGAGTACAGAGGAGGGAACAGGCTCAGAGGTTTCCAGGGTCTTGCCCAGGGCCTCACATATGGTGGAAAGGGGGCAGGGCATGAGCCCTATATCCAGACGTTGGGGTCACACCCTCCCTTGGGGTGAACTCAAATGATAGCGCACAGGGCCCCAGTGCCTCCCGCTCCTAGCACTGTCACCACAGTGGGGCTAGTGGGCTGTGCAGAGGCAGAAGGGGCTCAGAGGTGCCAGGTCATCTGCAGCATCTGAAGAGAAGCAATCTGGGCCTGGAGTTTGAGTCACTGCTCAGGCCCATGACACAGGCTATAGCAGGTCACAGAGCCCTTGTCTGTCAGGTGGGAATAATACTGGTTGCCCCAGGGGACAGCTGGGAGGGCCCAGAAGAACAGTTTATTTAGTTTGGCCTTTACCATTTCCCAGAGAGAGCTGGAAGAGTATCAGCCAGGGTGGCTTGTATGGATGCCAAGGGTGCCGTGCAACAGTGTGTGAAGGAGAGACTCAGCTGGTACCAAAGAGCCACCGGGCTCCTAGCTGCCCATGATAGCCATGGGAAGAGCAGACTAGACCAGTTTCCTTGGTGCGCCTCCCCCCTGCTCCCCCCACCCATCCTTCTGTTTCCTATGCCTCGGCTCCTGCTACCTGGCCCTGCCCCCCAGCTCCTATCCACCCTCCACCCTATGAAGTCTCATCCCTTCATGACTTTCTTATACACCCTGGTTCCTCAGGGTGAACCCCTCAGAGCAGAGCTTCTGTAGGAGTAACCTGGACAGGTCAGGGGCCTGTGGGTACGGGGAGCCAGCATAGGTAGGGCCTTTCCATCCTCTCTCCAGACCTCCATCCTCCTGCCTGCTTTGGAGGCCTGGGCCAGTAGGTGCTGGGGGTGGCCACACTGGGGACTTAGAGAAGACCAGAGCTATCTTCTCACAGTGGCTAGCCTAGGATCCCTTCCTGGGAAGTAGGATGGTCTGTCCAGGGGGCAAGACCAGCACTCTAGCAGTGCAGAGCAGGCAGGAAGGAGGCCTGGGAGCCTCTCTTGGCTCATTTGAAGAATGGTTTTGAATGGTGGAAGTTGCTGGAGTTCAGGGAAGGCATGGGGCACTGAGCACCACAGAAGGGCAGGTGAGGAGAGACTGGGGCCTATGGAGGGGGTTCAGAGAAACGAGGCGCTGCTGCCTAGCAGACCATGGGCAGTGGCCTGGGACTCCCTGTGGCATCTCTCCAAGGTGCTGACCAGTTGGAGGCATGGGGGTGTGGGGGTGTAGGGGTGCAGGCCTGAGGGGCCCCTGCCCATAATTCAAGGCTCTTGGTCACATCCTAGTGCCACCCCCACCCCCTACTCCAGTCCATTAAAGGGGCCAGAGATTGGGACGGGAGGCGAGGGACAACGGTCAGAGCAGAGACTACAGTGGTTGCCAGAGGAGGTCAGCTCCAGCCAGAACTTGTCCTTTTTCAGTGAGGCTGCTGGAAGCTGTGCAGGGAGTCAAAGTGGCTGGCTCGGTCACCCTGCCCCACCCACTCTCCCTCTCACAGGGCCTGAAGCTGGGGTCTGAACTCCGGGCAGACTGGAGTTGGTCTCAGGATTGAGCTGGGGCAGGGAACATTTATCTCACTCCACAGTCCCCAGGAGCTTGGATCTGGGCACCTGGGCTGAGCAGGACATGGAGGATAAGCTCCACTCCCACAACTGTCCAGGCCTTCCTGCAGCCAAGGTGCTAGGTGGGCTGTGGGAGGGGACCCAAGGGCGCATTCCTGATCTATGCATGAGAGTTGTCAGGAGACAGTGTACTCAGTCGCTTGAGTCCTTCTGCCCTCTCTCCCTCCTCTGCCTTCCCAAAGGAATGGGAGGTGCTGAGAGAGGGGGCTAAGGGGTGTGGATCCCTGGTCACCGCCCCACCCCCCACCCGGCCCTGTCTCCAGCTTGGGCTTCACCAGCTGTTACCAAACTTTCTTTGTCTAGAGAGGGAGTGGGGCTTCTGAGGCAGGAAGGAACTGGGCACGCTGAGTCCTAATCCAGACACATGGCTTAATCCAGGAGAGATCAGCTCGAGGTTTGGGAGCTAGAGGCATCGCTCAGGAGACTGAAGCCCTGGATTATTGACAGAGTTACTGGGAGGCCTGGCCTGTTGTCCACATGCCTGCCCAGGCCTGGCAGACCTATGCAGCAGTGGCCTGGAAACCCCTGTTCAGTCCTTCCTGCTACTCTCTGAGCCTCAGCTTTCCCCATGTACCTGTATCCCCTTGAACAGACATCACCTTGGGATTTAATCATGGGCTGAATTGCTTGGCACAAGTGGCAAGAGCCAGGGGAGTCAGAGGGGAGCTGTCAGGAAGGCTCCTTGAGTGAAGAGGTCCTTCGTCTGCCTGTGATGAGAAAGAAGGGGCATCTTGAGCAGGAGTACAACACAAGAGAACATTGTCACATTGTGCACAGCATGGGGCCAGGCAAGAAATGCCGTCCTTATTAGAGCCTGGATACATGGTCACAATGTTAATCTCTAGTTCTGGTCCAAACTCTGCCATGAACCAGCCCATGAATCCATTCCCCACTCTAGGCTTCGTTGCTCCTAACTATAAAATGATCATATATTGGTCCCTTCCAGCTCTGATTATCTGGATTGGGTAGGAAATGGGCTCAGAGATAGACACCAGTCATTGTGTTAGGGCAAGGCAAGCAAAGGGAGCCATGGTAGGTTCTTGAGCACGGAAGTGCTGATGTAACAGCATTGGACAGAAACGAGCTTGACATTGAGAGGGAGTGAGCTGCCAGGAGATGGGAAGAACCCCTGAAAGACAGGACAAGGCCAGACCAGGAGCCCCAGAGGGACTGTGATCCAAGAACCAGAAGCTGCACACAGCCAGGAGGGAGCCAGCTGTGTGTCCTCCCTAAGCCTTGTTGTCTGCATCGGCAATACAGGTGTGAGTCCATGTGCCCGGGCTGTAGGTGGTCACAGTCAAAGGGATGGATACCCTGGACACAGCACAGAGCCAGTGTTCGCACACAGTCAGTTGTCAACTTGTTTCAGGAGGAAAGGGGCCCAGCTTTGTGGGGAGCAGGGCAAGGTGAGGTGGAGCATGGGAAGAGAGGGGAGGCAGTGACAGAGCCCTGGGTCAGGGGGCAGTGACAGAGCCCTGGATTCAGGTCATTTACTTCTGCATCATGGGGAAAGGGTGAGAAAGGCTTATTCACTCAACAGATGTGTCAGAACTTGTCATTACATCCCAACCTGGTCAGTGCAGCCCCCACCCTGCCTGTTCCTTCCCACCGACTCCTCACATGAATGGTGCCTGGACTCAAGCAGCTGCCTCCCCTCGTGCCTGTGGCCAAGGCCCAGCAAACAGGAGGCCGCGCGGAAGCAAGTTCTCCAGCTTCTTGGAAAAGCTGCCTCCCTGGCATGTGGCCCGGGGAGCTGGCAGAGACTATCCTAACGTGGCAGGCAGGGGGGTTTTGGGGACGTGGATGGGGCGGGAGGCAAGCAGGTGAAGAAAGAAGGGTGGAGAGGGGGGTGCTCTCTAGGGGTGGAGTCGCCTGGGGGGAGGGCGTGGGCACCGGCCAGGGTGTGGACTCAGGGGCAGAGCGGGTTGTTCGCACTGCCTGGGTAAATAATGTGGGCCCATGGCACACATGAGTGTTTGCACAGAAGGTCTTGAAATGATTCCAGGCCTGCCCTCTGTCCCCCGCAACTCCAGCCCCCTCTGTCCCTGCCCACCACACCCACCCTGACCTTTTCTTCCTTGTCACTTAAAGGAGCCCTTGAAAGGAAGAGTTGAAATCAAAGGGAACACCCTTCTCTCTTGTTGGCATTCTCTCCACAAGAAACTGCAGGGTTGCCTTGTACAGTTGGAAAGGTTGAGCACTGAATAAGGAGGAGAAAAGGTAGCTCCTATTCACTAAGCTATCTAGTCAGAGAAAAAGGGACTTCAGTTTCTTGCACAAACTTTTCAAATGGGCTAGCTGCTGGTAACTTTTGGGAAGTTGGGCTCTTAACCTTGCCCTAGGGGCAAGTGCCAGCTACACAGGTTGAGCAGGTCAGTCTCACACCACAGGGTCACTGGAGATGCCCCAGGATGCCACAATGAATCTGCCACAGAGAGGACACCTGTCCTCGGACAGGAGCCTCCTCTCACGTGCCAGTCGCCTCAAACTGAATAGTACTAGCCTCATGGCAGAAGTGCCCTGCGGATTTGAGCCCCATGCTGCTTGGTTGCCACCTTTGAGAGCCAGGTTCAGAGGAAGGCCGCAAACCATCCTGCCCTCAGCGCACTCCTCTCCCTCCTCCTGCAGGCTCACCAGTGTTCGGGGGCACAGCCTCTTGGGGAGCCTCTATCTGTCTCCAGCTGTTCTTGAGTCCTAGGCCCATAAGTCACCCACAACCCCAGGACCCCAGAGTTTTGGGGGATGCCCACCCCTTAACTCACCCACATTGCACGTTCTGATATAGGTCCCTAGGAAAGGGCCAGGGCAGGTTGGGGACAGCAGAGCCTGGGTACCACAAGAAGTGAGGCTCAAAGATGCCTTGGGGGCCTGGAATGGCAGAGAGGGTGGGCATCTGCTGAGGATCTCAGGTGTTCCCTGGAGCGCGTGCCTTCTCGTTATCCCTGCAGTCCCAGGAAAGCCAGGCATGGGCACTTGACTTAGAGGGAGGCTAAGGGCCCTGGGAGAGACAGCATGTTTCAGGGGAGGCCATGTGGCTGGTGACCGAACCAGCTCTAGGTGTGCAGGCGAACCACGTTTGAGAGGCCATCTCAAGAAAGCTGCTTTGCTGGCAGAGTGACTCAAGTCGCAGAGCACCTGCTTAACAAGCGTGAGTCACTGAGTTCAAACCCCAGTACAGCCAAAAAAAAAAAAAGTGCAGCTCTGCAACTCTATTCGCATTCCCAAGTGGCCCCAACATGGAAGAGGGATTGCACCCCACTGTCTTGGTCTTCTTTTCTTTCCCTGGGTGTGTGAAGATAACTCAGCCCACCCTGACAAGGGCAGGATAACAGACAGCAAGCATGACTACAGTAGAAAAGGGTTCGCAGGAAAGATTTGGGTCTCAACAGCTCCTAGTCTGGGCCTCAGTTTGCTCATCTGCCACATGGGGCTGGTCATGCCTTCCCCCACGAAGACGAGGCGGGTCTGGAGCCTCAGAAGGTTGTCCTGAGCACATCACGTAGCTGGGATTGCTATTCCCACCAACCTGGCTGCCACTCACCATTCTTCTCCCAGCTAGCCCTGTCCTCACTGCCCAATGACTGGAAGCCCCAACCCTCTTCCAGGCAGAAGCCACTGCCAACTGGGCCCCTCATCCCTGTAACCAGCTTAGTGGCCCCTGTGGAGGTAAGCAGTCAGACCTGACCCTCCTTCCTCTCATTTCTGCAGGCACAGCTGCCAGCCCCAGCAGCATGGGCAGCGCCAGCCCGGGCCTGAGCGACGTGCCCCCCAGCTGCCTGCTGCTGCCCCCAGACACGCTGTTGCGGACAGGCCTGGAGAAGGTGGTGGCAGGAGCCGTGGGTCCCGACAAGCGGGGCTGGAGCCCCAGTCCGCCCGCCACGCCTGACCCAGGCCTGTCTGCTTTCTACCTTTCCTACTTTGATATGCTGTACCCCGAGGACGGCAGCTGGGGAACCAAGGGTGCCTCAGCCAGTACTCGGGAGGAGCCACCGGAGGAGCCGGAGCAGTGCCCGGTCATTGACAGCCAGGCCCCAGGAGGCAGCCTGGATGTGGTACCAGGCGGGCTGGCCCTAGAGGAGCACTCACTGGAGCAGGTGCAGTCCATGGTGGTGGGTGAGGTGCTCAAGGACATTGAGACGGCCTGCAAGCTGCTCAACATTGCCGCAGGTGAGCCCTCCCCCGTGCCACCTCCACCAGGGGAACACAGGTGGACAGTCCCCACCCAACTCTGCACCCAACCACCTGCCCAGTGCTCCCACTTGGCCAGGTGAAGTAAATTCAAGTTCTGCTCCATCCAGCCCTCCATCTACTCTTAGACTTGTCCCTCTTTTCCATTTATTCCGTCTTCTAGTCATCTGGCTATCTGCTGTTCCCACAACACTCACTTCAGGACCTTTGTACTTGCTGGTTCCTTAGCCAAGTGTGCTCATCCCCCACATATCTACTGGACCCATCCCTCACCTCCTTCAGGTCCTGACTCAGATAGTACCATCTCTATGAGGCCGTCATAGAGATGGCCCTGGCCCTCCATTGAAAGTGCTGCCTACACCCACCTCCTGTTCCTCCCACCTGGTTTGGTTCTCCCCCAGTGTATACTACTGCTTGTTCTCTACCTTGGTTCCTTTCTGGCCCCCACTAGAGTGTGCGCTCCACGGGGCAGGGGTTTTCCTTTGCTTGTTCCAGTTCCGAGGATAGCACCTTGAACACAATACATGCCCAGTAATCGGTTATCAAACAAATTCAGCCACAAGTCCTTCTTCACATACCGGGCCCTGATCTAGACCTGGGAACCACACCAAAGGGGTGGCCTGCCAGGCCTCCAGATGTGGCCATGGAGTTGATGCTGCAAAGTCTGCTGGGTCTCTGTCACCTGTGTGTCTCCCTCCAGCCCTGGCAGGTTGACACACCTCCCTCCATCTCTGTGAAGTATTTATGTGGGAAGGAGGGGTTTTTACACCCATCCTCTCTCCCAGCAATTCCTGCCCATGTGCCAGTCCTCTGGTTTTCCACACCATGCCAGCCCCGTCCCAGGAGGCTCTCCCATGGGCCTCTTCCCCCACACCTGCTCTCAGAACAATGGAGACAAGAACAAATTACTTTGACCTTGGGTTGGAAAATGAGCTTATTAAGTGGGAGCAGCCTAGCTTGCAGGTCACCCAGCTGAGGCAGTGGCATGGACCATGGCATTCACTTGGAGGCCTTACTGTAATGTGCTCTGCAACGTGGCCCCACCTCTGTGCCCTGCCAGACATCCCCCACAGAGCAGCTTCAAGGGGACATTTAGGGCCCAACCAGTGACTACTGTCCTGGCCTCAGAGGCCTGTAGCTGCCCCATAGCCACCCTGGACCATGCCACTTATTTATGGAGCATGTAGCATTGAGCTGCTCCCATGCACCCAGCCCTTTGTTAGAGGTTAGACACAGATGGAAGTCTCTGGACCTCAGTTTTCTCGTCTGTAAAATCCCAGAATGGTGGCCTGGTGTTGGATTCCTCCTCAGGCTTTCCTCCAGTGCCTGAGGGCTTTGGGGAAGGCAAGCGGTATCTGGAGAAGCTCATGTGTTTCTTGCTTGATGTTATGCTCTCTTCCAGGGCTGTACCCCAGAGGTCTGGAAGGGTCTGGGAGGACCTGAGGCTTGGTTGCAATGGGGAGTGCAGAGACAACAGGCAGTCTTGTCCTGAGACAAGTTTGTTTTAGGGCCCTGTCTCCTCCCTCTCACTCTCCTCTTTTCTGGGGCGTCTGCCTCCACGGAACCCCTTAGGGCCCTATCTGGGCCTGGCTTGGCTACACCCAGAAGAGTAACATGTCCTGGACCACAAGTTCTTAGGAGAGCCACCTTTGGGTTGGGGTGCACCAGAACCTGCAAGCTGAAAGGTACTCTCTTGCCCAGACCCCGGGGACTGGAGCCCCGGCAACGTTCAGAAGTGGCTCCTGTGGACAGAGCACCAGTATCGGCTGCCCCCTGCAGGCAAGGCCTTCCAGGAGCTGGGGGGCAAGGAGCTGTGCGCCATGTCTGAGGACCAGTTCCGCCAGCGCTCACCCCTGGGTGGGGAGGTGCTGCATGCCCACCTGGACATCTGGAAATCAGGTGAGACATGGCCTAAGTCAATTTCCCTTCCAGGCTCCAAGCCAGGGACACTGAAGGGGGCTAGTCAAGCCAGGATGCCGGTTGATGATTGCCCTGCTCTGGGGAGCAGCCCCTTACCCCAGCCCAGACTCCACTGCAGACCTCAGCCCCCAGTGACAGCAGGCTTCTTGGGTCCTGGGGGCTCACCAAGCCCACCACCCCAGCCCTGGCCAAGCCCCCAGAATTGCATACAGAGCACGCAGAAGTGAAAAGGTAAAAGTTAGACCATGGGGACCTGGGATCTCAGAGCTGAGGGCCACAAGGATGCTAGGAAATCCTCCCTGCTATCCTTCTTTTTTGGTGGTGCTGGGGATGGAACCCAGGGACTTGCACATGCTAGGCAAGTGCTCTGCCACTGAGCTACACCCCGTGTCTTTTTTCCTTTTTAAAGTGTGCTTTGTTTTATTTTTCAAGAAATAATGAGGTTATAATTGCATGATTTGCCCAATGTGGTGATCTCAGCACCCAGGAGGCTGAGGCAGGAGGATCAAGAATTCTTGCTACATAGCAAGACCTTGTAAAAAGAAAAAAAAGATTTTAAAAGGCCATAGTGAGAAATAGTGTACAATGAGCAGTGTCTCCCTCCCACTCCTGCCCCAGCTGCCAACCCCTTCCTAGAGGCAGCTACTATCACCAGTTTCTGGGTCACCGCTCCAGAGAAAGTTTGCATCTCCAACCAAATGTACACTCATAGCTTTAACTTTTTAAAAAACAGATAAATAGCACCAGAGTATGGTACTGCTCTCCACTCAAGTGTCTTGGGCCTTGCTCCCATCAGCATTCATACAGCTACCCTGTTCTTCGTGGCCCTTACATGTTCAAATTGCCTCCCTTTCATTGGGGACTCACTCTGTGTCCTGGGCACTTCAGAGGACCAAGATCCTTACCCTTAAGAGTCAAGGTGCAGGCCTCACCATCTGACTCCTCACCACACCTGCTAGGAGCGTGTATGCCCCATTTCACAGGTGAGGAAAGGGAGGCCCGGCTGTCATGTCTGCAAGTGAACAAGGAGGTGATGTAGGGACCAAGGCAAGGTCCCTGAGGCCCTCAGTTCTGAAAGCCTAAATCTCCTTCCAAGAAGCGACCCTTGTAAGCACCTGGTCTTCCCAGATTTGCAAGAGACAGGGAACCGCGGGGGACACCCCAGCCACAGGGAAACTTCCGCGCCCCACAGTCCCACCCCGCCCCGGGGCATCTCCTGGTCGCCAACCTCCTCTCCTTGCCTCACAGCGGCCTGGATGAAGGAGAGGACATCGCCTGGGGCCATTCATTACTGCGGTGAGCTGGGCAGGGAGCACCAGGGCCAGGGGTCAGGGCTAAGTAAGGGGTGGCTGCCTGGGAAGGGGGTGGCTGCGGCTGCCACTCACCCCACCTTCCCTGGTCGCCAGCATCCACCAGCGAAGAGAGCTGGACCGACAGCGAGGTGGACTCCTCCTGCTCCGGGCAGCCCATCCACCTGTGGCAGTTCCTCAAGGAGCTGCTGCTCAAGCCCCACAGCTATGGCCGCTTCATCCGCTGGCTCAACAAGGAGAAGGGTAAGCTGCCTGCGGGCTACTAGGCAACACGACAGGGGGCGGGGCCGGAGCGGCAAGGGGCGGGGTTGGGGCGGTCAGGGGCGGGGCTGAGGGTTCCGGTAGGGCTGAGTCAGCCCGAGGTGCGGGCTAGAGAGCGTGCTTTGCTCGTGATGCCAAACACTGCAGTCCTCGGGCCTCCCCAGGGTCTGGGTCAGTGTGTGTCCTTATCTCTCTCCTGGCCACACGTTGTCCTGTTAAAATTCTCACACCATACCGTGCCTGAGCACAGCAGGGGCTTCAGACTGCTGAGAATGGGCCTTTGTCCCCAAAGCATCATCGCTTCCCCTGGGGAGACTACTGGTGTCCCATAAGAAATACAATGTGAACCACATCTGTAATATAAATTGTCTAGTAGCCACATTTGAAACATTTAAAAACAGATGAGTTTAATTTTAGTAAAATACGTTGCAAAAACTTTTAAACCAAAAAAATCTGAAATACGAAATGCTCCCAAATCCAAAACATTTTGAGCTCTGAGATGGATTTTCAGGTTACAGATGCTCAACCTCTAAAGTCTATGCCACTATTCAAAATCCTAAATCCTCTAAAACCTGAACGACTTCTTTTTCAACATGCAGTGTTAAAAATTCTTGAGACATTTTACTAAGTCTTAGAAATCTAACATGTTTTACATTTTTAGGATATCTCAGTTTGGGCTAGTCACACTTCAAATGCTTAAGCCACTTATGGGGCTGCCTGCTTTGCAAGCGTGAAGCCCTGAGTTCAAACCCCAGTCCCACAAGAGACAGAGAGAGAGAGAACACCTGTCTGTGGTGCTGAGGCCATGGCTCAAAGGGTAGAGTGCCTGCCTAGCAAGTGCAAGGCCCTGAGTTCAAAACCACAAAAAAAAAAAAAAAAAGAAGAAGAAGAGCCACTTAAGGCTGGTGGCTACCTTATCAGACAGTACAGGGCTAGATGGTGTCTGTGTGTGTGTGTGTGTGTGTGTGTGTGTGTGTGTGTGTGTGTGTGTGTGTGTGTGTGTGTGTGTTTGAGACAGGATCTTACTATGTAGCCCAGACTGGCCTTGAACCTGTGATCCACCTGCCTCAGCCTCAAGAGTGCTGGAATTACAGACACATGCTACAATGTTCTGGTGTGTGTGTTGAAAAAGACTAAAAGCCAAGAAGCCTGGGTTCTAGGCTCCAGGCTGCCATAGGAGCAGTGGATTCCTGGACCTCAGTTTTCTTATCTGTAAAAAGGGCTGGCGTCATTCATCTAACAAACCTTCACTGAGTGCCTACTCAGGTTCCATGCTGACTCAGGTCTCATTCTGGAGAATCACAGTACCCTGAGGGTCTGGTGAGGGCTCTGCCATGCCTTGTCTTTGAGGGACCTAGTCTTGCAGAAGAATAGCAATGCAGTGAGCTGGTGTATACGGCATTTTGGGGTTATGATTGCGTGTGGGGGGCAGGAAGGAGATCAGCTATGTCCAAGCCTAAGAGGACTTCTTGGAGGAGGAGGACAAGAAGGAGTGAGCTGCCAGGTGCTGGTGACTCACACTTGTAATCCTAGCTATTTGGGAGGCTGAGATCAGGAAGATTTCAGTTTGAGGCTAGCCTGGGCATATAGTTTTTGAGATCCCATCTCAAAAATAACCAGAGCAAAATGGACCACAGGTGTTGTTCAAGCAGTAGGGTGCCTGCTTTGTAAGTGCAAAGTCCTGAATTTGAACCCCAGTCCTACATAAAAGAAAAGAAAAAGGGGTGATCTGGGGTGGTGGAGGAGACGTTCCTGTGCAGAGTGTGGTGGCCCTAGGTGTGCATTTGACACTAGTGAGGGTCTGGGAAGCTCCAGGGGTGTTGGGGGGTGGGGCAGGCTGATCTGGGCCTTGGCAGGAGGGTTTAGGATCAGCGCTGAGGGTGCTAGCAATGTCATAGGTCCTCCCATACCACAAGTCCTCAGGCTCTGCTCTGAGCATCTTCTGTAACAACTCAGTAATCCACGTGGTCACTTCCAACCCCCTCTGAGAGACAGGAAAAAGGAGCCCAGACAAGAGGTAGCAAAGGGCAGAGCCCAGACAGCCTGGTTCACACCTGCTCTTTCCAGGAAGGTCCACGTGGCAGAGATGTCTGAGAAGAGGGAAGAGGTGGTTTGAGGCATGCGAACTAGGAGGGCACAGGAGGCAAGAGGGGGAGGGGGATGTGCGGATCTTGTCAAGCTGGGGACACAGCAGAGAGCACAGGGACTTCCAGTGGACTGGCTGGACCCGCAGCAGGAGCAGAGCCCCAGAGAACCCACTAACTATGGAGGCTCCCCCTGCACCATATTATTCTCCACCACCTATTGGGGCCTGTGGCATATGTTTGCACACATTCGCTTACCCCTCACCACAGCAAAGGACTTGGTGTCATGGTCCCTAGAGCTCGGCCCCTGCTGGGAGCTGAAGGAGACCCCAGCACTGATTCCCTGGGTTCTCCAGGAGACTGACCTGTTGATCTTGGTCTTTATTCTTCCTGCTGCCTTCCACATACACACTGGCTCGCGCTCTCTCTCTCTCTCTCTCTCCCTCTCTCTCCTCTCTCTCTCTCTCTCTCTCTCTCTCTCTCTCTCGACCCTCCTGCTCCCCCAGGCATCTTCAAAATTGAGGACTCTGCCCAGGTGGCGCGGCTGTGGGGCATCCGCAAGAACCGCCCCGCCATGAACTACGACAAACTGAGCCGCTCCATCCGCCAGTATTACAAGAAGGGCATCATCCGGAAGCCCGACATCTCCCAGCGCCTCGTCTACCAGTTTGTGCACCCCATCTGAGGGCTGCGGGAGCCCCGAGGCCTGCAACCTGCCCTGACGGCCCTCTCTCCTGCCTGCCTCTACCTTGGCCAGGCTCTGAGCTCAGGAAGAAAGCGCATCCCAGAGTCCAAGGTCAGGGAGGGTTGGATGCCTACTCCTGGGGCTTTAAATGACCGGCTGTCGGGACCCCAGGAAAGAAGCGCTTACAGCCTTAAGACTCACACGCACAGCTCTCTAGAGGACCAAAAGAGCCAGGGACGTTCTCAGGGGAAGGACCTCCCTACCTCCCGTGTCAGACCCCACAATTCCCAGAGTGCAGCCTGCAGAATGGCAGGTCCCCTGCCAAAGCCATGTGCCGTGTAGCCTTCTCTCTGCCACATCCCCTGCTGCCTGTTCTGCACCATGCCTGGCAGGGAGTAGGAGACATCTTCTGCACTCTGAGCTGGGGAGCCAGCGGTGCCCCAAGAATGGATAATAAAGATACTCAAGAACTGACAGGTCCCCAGTGTCTGGGCAGTGAATGGCACAGCCTGAGGGCTGTCAATGGTTAAAATTGATTGTGGGCCAGGAGCTGTGGCTTACGCCTGTAATCCTAGCTACTAGGGAGGCAGAGATCATAAGGACTGCAGTTCCAGGCCAGCCTAGACAAAAAGTTCCCAAGAGCCCGTATCAGCTGACCATGGTGGCAAGCGCCTGTCATCTCAGCTAGGTGGGAAGTGCAAATAGGATTGTGGTCCAGGCCAACCAGGGCATAAAAGCAAACCCTATTGGAAAAATATGTAAAGCTGGGTGCTGGTGGCTCACACCTATAATCCTAGCTACTTAGAAGATTGCAATCAGTACAGTTAAGGTTCAAAGTCAGTCCAGGCAAATAGTTCATGAGAAAATACCTGACACACACAACAGGAAGAAAAACCCAACACAAAAAAGGGCCAGCAGAGTGGCTCAAGTGGTAGAGCTCCTGCCTAAAAAGCACAAGGCCCTGAGTTCAACCTCCAGCACCAAAAAAATAAAAACTAAAAAAAGTGGTTGTAATCACAGGGACCTGGGGTAGGGGTGGGGTGCGCGGGTGACATTACACTAAGCCTAAAAGGGAGGCTATAGCTTTCCTTTGGTAGAAGCTTATGAGAGATCAGTGAGCTTTCCAGGCCAAGCCCAAGAAAGGGCTAAAGTGATACCATTGTCTTCCTCACCCCCCCCCCCCCCCCCCGGCAGCTGGAAGGGCCAGGCAGGCCAGGCTGACAAGGGTCTGCAAGCAGACCTGGAGAGGGAAAGGGCCTCTGGATCTTGCTCTGCTATGGGACAGGCCAGCTGCCTCCTGCAGAGAGCCCAGGGCAATTGTCTCTGCTTGGCCAGGTAAAGGTAAAGGAAGTGGGAGAACATGGTAGCCGGGGTGTGTGTGTGTGTGTGGTGTGGGTGTATGTGTGTGTGGGGGGGTGTGTGTGTGTGTGCGTGTGTGTGTGTATGTGTGTGTGTGGGGGGGGTTAGGCCCTTCAGTCCCCTCGTGAACATTGGCTTTGTGCAAACAGTGGAAGAGAGCTTGGCTCATTTGCAGTCTGTCTCCTGAAGACCTCGGCAGTGCCATCTAGGAAGCTGTGAAGTAGGAGTGGGAGCGCCTGAGGTGCTGGGGAGGGGCTGTGTATTTGCGCATTTGTGAGAGACCAGATCCACCACCAGTTCTCCTGGGCAAAGCAGCTTCCTCATAGTTCCCTCACTTACTCATGTGTCCTGAGGAGGCAGGTGCTCCTTTAAAACCTTGAAGTAAGGAGTATTCCCCCATTTTGCAGATGATGAAACTAAAGCTCAGAACAGTTAAGCAACTTGCTCACAGACACACAGCAGAACCAAGAACTGAACTCATGCCTATGCCTCCCCAAAGACAGGGCTCTGCCTGCCCTTCCATCCCACCTGCTTTAGGACATGCCAGCACTCTGAAGCCAGGCTTCCAGACCACCAAGGGTTAAACGCTGCCTTGTACTGCTGCCTTCTGCCCCCAGCAACTTTATTGTCTTCTGAAGAAAGTTTACTCCTGGCAGTGAGCAAACAGCTCCTTGGCATCTGTCAGCTGGGATTGGACCCGCAGCAGGAGGGGCCCTGCCCCAGGCCTGTGCCTCACTGGTCCCTTGGCTGTCTCCCACCCCCAGGAGGGGCAGACTGGGACCCTGGCCAGAACCAGACTCACCTCTGCTGAACTGGTTTTGTCTCCAGCCAGCCTGCCCTACCCCCTACAAGTCCCTGGAGACACCTGCTTGGACATCCCAGCTGGGCTTGGGCCTCAGAGCTCAGGCAGAGGTTGGTTAGGGGAATTAGAAACTGGGAGTGGCGAGACTAGGGGGCTGGGAGGGGCAGTCCCTGCATGCAAACACTTGGCAGACCCACAGCCATCCAGTGCCACCTTGTGAGCTGGCATCCATCTGTTGGTCCTTCTTCCTGTCCACACACCTTCCCATCAGAACCCCACCTGGCCAGGATAGTTCTTGACCCCTTCACAGGATCCCAGCACTGGGGCTCCCCAAATTAAATAGACGTCTATTGCCAATAAGAGAACTTTGCCTTTATCTGAAGATTCCCCTGTTTGGCTAAAAGCAGGGTTTCAAAGGGAGGTGGGTTTGGGGGGTAAGGGAAATGGGGTTCCAAATAGATTCAACCCCCATCTACACTGCTCCCTGCTCTGAGCACACCCTCTGGTAGGGAAAAGACTGAGGTGAGGGGCTGGGTTTGTGTTGGGACCCTGGCCAGAAGGACCTTTAAGAGCAATTTCACCAAACTAGGGAAACAGGCTGGGCTAGGGCTGGGAACCCAGGGACCTGGTGGTTGAGTGAGAGCTGGATCTGCGACTCCTGTCCTACCCAAGAAAAGATCTAGGTGGGCTTGGGGAAGTTCCGGGGCTGAGACTGCAATTGATTTGGGGCAGGGCCTGGGCCTGGGCCCTGGTCCTGGGCCCTGGTCCTGCCCCCACCTTGAGACTTTCTTCTGGAGACACCCTCCCAGGGGTCCCTGAGAAATGCCTTCAGAGTAGGGCAAGCTATACAGGAGAGCGTGGTGTGGTCCAGTGTCACAACTGGGCTCTGGGACTGTAAGCAGCACAGTTGCAAGTCTCAGCAGAATTCTGCATTTTTTGGTGGTACTGGGATTTGAACTCAGGATCTTGTGCTTGCTAGGCAGGTGCTCTACCATTTGAGTTAAGCTCCCAGTCCTAGAATTCTTCTTTAAAAATCAAAACTATTTGAGGGCAAATTCACCCTTAAGTCGTGAACTTGGCATATTTATTTATTCATTTAGCAGTGTTGGGGATGAAACTCAGGGCCTCATACAGGCTAGGCAAGTGTTTAGGACTCCAAATACCCTTGCTTACCTGGTCAGTCCTGTCCCCAGGCACCCATCACCCAGTCAGAACCTCAGCCAGAAGAGAGACAGGACCTGGGACGCTGGGAAGTGAAGGGCCCAGCCCTTTAGTCCCCCAGCCTGACAGGAGTCAGCCAGGACAACACCCCACTTTGCTCAGGGGCCACCTCCATGACAGACAACCTCCCATGCAGTCACACAAACAGAATCCACAAAGCCCCAAGACTTAAGACGCATAAAACTCACATGACCACGTCCAGCCAGGTTGACACAGTTCTGGGTTTTATCCACAGTCATACAGTCACAACTGATAGATAGATAGATAGATATTTGTATTTATATACCTTTAAATTACACAATCATGTACAAAACAGGCGCATTGCTGAGACCACAGCACTTCTCAGAGTTTCACAAGTGTGGGAACTAATGGAGTCAGGAAGCCAAGGACAGCAGATGGCGGCGGCAGGTGGCAGGGCAGCCCTGGCTCCTTGCAGGACCAGGCCACAGAATGGTGGTTAACTGGGGACAAAACACATTACTGGCCGAGCCCCACCAGGGTGGGCCCGTGCAGCATCGAGGAGGCAGCAGATGGGGGCTACAGGAGGAGGCGTGAGCTCAGGCGAGACGCTTGGCTCTGCACTCGCTGTTGGGTGCCCTGACACCAGCTCTGACAGGTGGGGCTGGGCCCTGGGCTCAGGGGACTTCCAGGTGGGGGACCCTCCCACACTGGGGTCCTAAGGAGCCTGGAGACCAAGAGAGATGGTCCCAAAGGGGCCATGAGGGCTGCTGCTGCAAAGGGATTAGATTTTCCAGTCTCTGCCCTGGAGTGGGCAGCCAGAGTGCTGAAAGGGACAGGCCTGGGGTCCAGCCAGGGCCACAGTCCCTCCCTGGGTGCTAGGAAGCCGCTGGCACAGAGAGGGGGAGCCCAGGCCCCAAGGTGCAGGTGTGGCAGCTTCTTGCCTTTCAGGGTAAGCAGTGAGGGTCAGAGGCCCCCACCGCCCTCCTGCCGGGGGGGAGACAGGAGCTTTTGGTCTGGATGTGAGAGGGCCGTGGGCTTCAGGCTTTGAGGGGCCCAGGGCACATTTCAGACTACAAAAGAAGCCCAGAGACCAGACAGTGATAAGGAAGGGAGTGCTGACATCTGGGGGTACTCGCCTATCCCAGGGGTACCACTGCCTCTGGCCCTAGGGAAGACCTGTCCCAGCTTGGATTCCTGCCAGAACTGTCAGGATTCACAGGAAGCAGGGCAGAGCCTTGAGGTTGGGATCCACTACCTCCTAACAGTGGGCTGCTGGGAGAAACAGTAGGAAGGGAAAGAGGATTAGTGGTGTGGAGGGGCTGGGGTAGCACGCTCTTTACCTGGAGGCCCAGAAGGCCACCTGACATGAGAGGGAGGGAGGAGACTTCAGTTCGGAGGTCTAGCAGTGGCACCAGCATGGACTTTTTTGGGCCCTGGCCCCAGAAGTCTCTGAGAGATTTCTCCAGCCACCTGCCCACCTGTCAGGGTCTTGTCCAACTTTGGTCTGCTTCCCATCCCCAGGGAGAGGCTGATACCCAGGCATGGAGAGATGGGGATGACACCAGCAGGGGAGTGTTATTGGGGGATAAGGAGACAAGGAAGAAAGACATGGTGACCATCCTGCTCCTAGGGGCAGAGCTCCCCTTTCCCACCAAAC